GAGTCTATTAATCATGAATGGCGGGAAAGTCTTCAAGCTAAAACTCAGAGACACCGACCATCTTTACACCTGTCTTTTTATTAATATTTTGTTTTTTTAATTTCAATCGATTTTTATAGTTCAAGAAAGAAATGCAGGCAGTAAAAATCTTAATTTGGGGTCAAAGAGACTTACAAGGTAGTTTAAGTATTTCAATAATCGGAGTGAAAAGTAACGCTCAATGAAAATAGAACTGCAAAGATTTTGTAAGAAAGTTTTACTGGCTACATTTTCGTCTATACTGTCCGCCATGACATTTATAAAATAACCAGAGTAAAGCGCGCGCTCTGAATGGTCAATTCAGCGTCCACCATTTGCCCATGGGCGTACGCTGTTGACGTGAGCAAATGCAGACTAGTTTTCCGCGCGCGCTTGTTTTTTCTGGTCACTTAAGATTTGTTAAATGAAAGAAAACTCTTTTGCTACAATGTAACAATGTTATGTGATAAAACAAATGGTAAACGCCACAGTGTACACTATTGTGTTAAGGATGCACTTGGGAGGTTTGCTAAGCACTCAGGAAGCTACTCGCTCTCGGCTATCGCCTCGCGCGACTCTTAAGCTTCTTTCGTGCTTAGCAGCCTCCCGCGTGCATCCATAACTCAATAGTGTACACTGTGGTGTTGACCATTTGTTAATTATCAATTCTGTTGATAAACCCAAATTATCTTTCGGTTTGTTTCCCAGGAAATGATTTTGGTCTCGTGGAAGGGCTCATCCTGGGTGTAAAAACCTGTGAACCTCACGAGTGACCTAAAACAAAGACAACAAAACATTATAAACAGTAGCGTACAGCACAACAATACCTCATGAAACAAAGAAAGTCTCGTCCGGTTTTTACACCGAGGATGACCCCGTGGAAGTTATTATCAGTATCAAGTCTTTGTTCGTTATCCTCGGAAATTCGGTTTCTCTCGCTTCCGTTTTTGATTTGACTTTTTAAATCTATACCCCGCCTCAAAAGGACTTTTTAAAATTTATTCTGAACTTTTGTTTTTACGAAATGTTGAAAAAAAAAGTGATAAATAAAGAAAAACGTAATTTTCCCACTTTGCTTAAAATAACATCCTTAGAATTAACATTTTCTTTAGAAATACGGAAATTAAAAAAAATAAAGAAAGGCTGTTTATTGGCTGGCTTTTCATTAAATTAAATTTCCGGTAAATGTTTTAGTGAAGCAATTAGATGTTACCATGCAAACATAAAAGATATGATGAGATGAAATCTTAGATAATAGATAACTTTAAAATGAGGAAGAATGATGTGTCAAGTGCAGGATATCATTATAAGAAAAACAAAAGGCGAAGTCGTGGTTGTTCATCCTGGTGAAGTGCACTGATAAAGCATTATTTTTTGTTCAACGCTACATAATCAACCCTGTGGAGAATCGCGACGACTCGTGGTAAAAAGAGTGAAAAGATTGCAACCTTTGCCAGCGGTATGTGAAACACTAAGTTGTTGATTAACTGTAAGTTTATGTTGCTCTGACAAAGGGCACAAATAGCGCAAATATAAATGTGACTTTCGGTGTTAAAATTCACAACTAAGGTTTATCTACCCGATCTATCTCATTAGTTGATAACCAGCTGAAAGTTTTGGACTTTCCATGTGTGCTCCACTACTCTTTGCCAAGAGACACCATCAGTAAGTTCTACATCATTTTAAGGGGAATTCCGCTCCTCTGTGATTGGCTACCGTGGGTTCTTTCGAGTAGTTTCTTTTGAAATGTGTAAATTTTGAAGTAAACCGCTGCCCTAATTGACAGTTTAGATCCCGTCCTTGAAACGCCGATTGATACGCTCACTGATTAACAACTTGGTAATATTCAGCTGTTGATAGGAATTGCAGCTGGACACAACATCTTTAGTGTGAGTTTGTAAAGGCTTCAGTCGTTTGTCTGGATTATGGGGTGTTCTTCATCATTGCACAACAAAGAGCTTGTTTCCAAAGTCAATATTTCGAACAATCTTAGCGATGCTCAAAAGGTGGCCGTCCAGAAAACATGGAAATCGGTCGAAGAAAATCGGACGAAGATTGGAAAACAGACATGGATAAGGTATTACGGTTATTTTAAAAATAAGTTTTTAAAGGCGCAAAGATTTGTAGATGCTTTTTTGTGTGTGTGTTCAAGTACGATGTTTTCCGAACATCTCGTTCACAGGGACATGAAAAAATACATTAACAAAGACAGGAAATAGTCGAAAGATGTGTGTATATATATTCTAAAATAACCTTTTATCAAATGTTTTGAAGAGGGATTGATTGTGGATGTAGTTCCAAAAAAAAAAAAAACTCTCATCGCGATTCGGAACCAGCTAAAAGTTTTTTCGTTTTCAGGCTAGAAATGTACAAAATTGAGAAAATTTTTTCCTAAATTCCATAATATTGATCGTTTTTCTGGTAGCCTATCTTTATTTTTCAGCCCTTGAATTGGCTGAATAATTTATTTTTTTATTGTCGGTATAGTCAGGAAATTTCTGTATAATTTTAGTTTCATTCAAAACCGAACTTTGAAGATAAAATCAGCGAGATTGTACAAACATGGTAGCTCAAAACTTAGAATGAAACAATCCAGAGAGACTTTTTTGATAAAAAAAATTACCGAGCAAATAGTGACACCTGCAGATTTTTTATTTTCCTTCTCGTTAATTTATGCAAAGTCTTTTCGAAACGTTAACATAGCCCTTTTTTGCTGCGATAGATAATTCGAGGAAAGAATTCGCCTAGCAACGATTGGAAAACGGTGATTAAATGTCTTCTTTACCACCGTAATGTTCTTGGCAACTTCTGATCTGGCCAGCCAAAACAAGGCCTAGCTATTGACCAGCGAGCGATATCAATTTCAAAGCGTGTCAACGGAAATGTTACTTGTCTGCTTTCAAGTCGTCCAACTTACATTACGAAACAACCATGATATTGCAAACTTTGTGTTTCATGTGACTCTCCGTTCGGGAAAATTTGAAAGGCAAAGTAGATATTTTTTTGAAAGCTTTGTACGAGAGGCCTTCTGTAAAAGAAATAATCATCATGTATTTTCCGATGTCATGCAATTTCTCTCCATGATATGTTCGTGAAAATTAAAAATCTTAAAACGTTTTCCTTTGTCTGCTTGAAAACTGAGTAATCATGGAAAAATATTAAACTCTAAAATTATCACTTGAAAAAAAAAACCAAAAAACTGAACCGTATGATTGAGACTTAACCTCAACTTTGTCAAAATTAACAATGCATGAAATTATCAGGGTTTTAGGACGGCTAGGTCTTTGAAATTAACGTTTAAGGAAAATGAACATTTTGATCGTAATCAATTTTAAAAATAAATTATACGCTTTGAATTTTCTGAGTTAATGTCTCCAAGACAAACTTCCGTTTCAGTGCATTCGGGAAGTTGATGGTTAAAAAGTTTATGAACGAACTTAAAAGTCGTAGGAAGTTATTCTTGATTTTGAGATGACTTTACACAGTTTGTTGTTTCTATGGCGTCTGTTGACAATTGGACACCCGCTGTTTCTTGCAAGCTCATCGACATTGTTTTGAAGATAAACACGAACAGGTATTGAGTAAATGAGTTTCATGGCGCGCTTGATGCCCGACACCTTAATGAACCAAGTGTCATTGGCTTCATTTCCCTTTACCAAACAAAAATGGGTTCACCGCTTTAGTCAAGAAAATTCTGAGAAAAACAAATTTCGTACTTCGCGATTCGTGCAATATCGATTTTCGCGTATAATTTAATGCAGAATTCCCTCATCACGTAATTTATTTTCCTATAATATTTGTTCTCTATGGGTTATATCACATAAAAAATTCTAAAAAATTGGATTCTGGAATTGGATACCCGAGTAGTTAACGTTTAGTTTCTTATCAACGAAGCCCAGGTAAGATGACAGTGGAATACAAATTTTATATTTTTCTCTAAAAAGAATATTGATATACCCCAAGAGAAGGAGGTATTTGGGTTTATGAGAAAGCGCAAAACCGTAGAAAAAATAATTCAAAACCGCAAACAATTCGATCATATCGAAAAAAGGCATGCAAAACCGTTTGAAGCGATAATATTCACATTTCAGTTACGTGATACCATGGTGACAAGTGGAGCATACAGGGGTATCGCGGCTATTCGAGATCAGTGGAGGCGCATAAATTGCCGCTCAGATTGAAGAGGAACTGGAACCCAAATAAGGAAAAAACCAAAAAACCTCATTAGACGCCAAATCCGAAAACCCATTTGTATTTTCGACGAAAACCGAAAACCAAATGCTGAAAAACGGGAGATACCCAAACCGCACAAAAACCGGTCTAAATAGCACAAAACCGCAAGCAAAAATCTCAGTGTGCCTCCCTCCCCTGCCAAGATTGCGTAAAATGTGTAATGTATATAAATTCATGTGCGCATACTAAATGTTAGAAACTCATGAAAAACGATTTTGATAAGGGAATACATTGTGCTTATATTAAAAAAAATAATAATAGTAAAATAAAACAACCCCACATATAAACCGAATAGACAAAACCTTTGACCAGGCCTACAATGCACTGTGCCATAATTTCAGACTAAAAGAATCAACTGTAAATTAATTCGAATCGAAACATTACAGAATGAGCCGCAAATAAAAAAAATGGGGCCATTTGTGTTCGGTAATCAAGCTCCCTTTAAAAAGGTTCTGCGAAAATGAGATAGATATTAGCTCCAGAACTGTAACGTGTCAAATCGAACCATTTAATGAGGATAAATCACATTTTAAAAGTTCAATAAAACTTAATTTATTTGTCGCAGGGTCTTCGAGTTAAATCCTCAGATAAAGAGGATGATGCCAGAGTTTAACACAAATGATCCGGTGGAAGAGCTAAAATCAGCACCAGCTTTATTTGGACACAGTAAAACTTACATGAAATGTCTTGAAAATGCCGTCACTTCCATGGACGACAATGAACGCTTTGTTACTTATCTTGTTGAACTTGGCCGACGACATCAGGTTCGACCTCTCAAAGCCCATTACTTGGATGTGAGTAGGACTCCCTTAAAATGCTTTGTTTGTTTATTTTTCTCTGAAGTCATATAGTCAGAGATAGAGAGCGTAAAGGACCAACTATTAACTATCGCCCATGGGGAGAGGGGTCGGGGTCGTTGCTAACAGTATATGGAGGACGAAAAAATTGAATGTCAATCAACCGCCAATAAGTGGAGATCTCATCCCCCCCAACCCAAGGCGATACTTAACATAACATTGTCGACTTCAAAATGATCTCTAAACGAGTAACTTACTCATATTTTAACTTAGCTTAATCTATCAATGGATATTTTATTTGATTTTTTGTCGTCTATGTCGATAAGCATTTTACCAGGGTGCCTGTATGAGTATCAATTAATTCTTATTTGTTCCTTTGCAGTTGATACATGAGGCGCTCATGTTTTCTTTAAATGAGATTTTCCAGTCGGAATGGACATCTGATACATTTGAAGCCTGGGATGCATTATCTAAATTCATGTTCAAGGCGATGTTAACTGGCCTGAATGATACATAATTACAACTACGCTTACAAGTCCTCCACTCGAAAGATATGTCCTTCCAGATAAAATTTTGGATCCCAAATTGTCCTTATTATTTTTATCCGTGGGTATCCATTCTACTCTTGGTGGTAGAGAGAGGTACTGTGTAGCGGAAGTAAGCTACCTACTCTTAGGGGTAGGGAGAGGTACTGTGTAACGGAAGTAAGCTGCCTACTCTTGGTAGTAGGGAGAGATACTGTGTAGCGGAAGTAAGCTACCTACTCTTAGGGGTAGGGAGAGGTACTGTGTAACGGAAGTAAGCTGCCTACTCTTGGTGGTAGGGAGAGGTACTGTGTAGCGGAAGTAAGCTGCCTACTCTTAGGGGTAGGGAGAGGTACTGTGTAGTGGAAGTAAGCTGCCTACTCTTTGGGGTAGGGAGAGGTACTGTCGAACGGAAGTAAGCTGTCTAATAACACAACCCAAGGATACCGTCCTGAGTTCCAGTCCAGACACTCAATCCTCATACCAACAAGCTAGGAAACCAATCATCATTTATCGCCAGGGGAGGGGGGAGGGGATACGAAGAACTTTTTGGGGGGTCACACGTTTTTCAGAGGGAACGGAGGAGCATCAGTAGTCGATACAGAGTATAAATGGAGGACTTAAGAAAATTGACTGCCAAGTAACAGCCAAAGAAGGGGCATGATAATATTGTTACAGAGCCTTATAGGGGGATCAGGTAAATTTAATCATGACACAACTAAAATCACCAGCACTCCCTACCCCCGGGGATAAATAATGACTAGTCCCCAAACACGATCATGTTTCGTACTTTTTTTTTTTTTTTGAAAATACATTTATGATCATTCATGAGTTGAAAGACTCAGCTCGCCGCTTTCTCCCCGCAATACTGAATTATCATGAAACGAAAGGCAACTTGTTGGCGACACCACACGAAAATGTCTGCCCCTGAATAAGCTTCGCTGAAGTTAGATTTAAAATAACTACTATGATAATTTTTTTATATGAAATTTGATCTTGTGTTTGGGAAAGTTTTATTTAGTCTTTGATGTTTATTACCAGTTCTTTTCTAAACTCAATATTGTTTAGGAACTTATTTATTTAGATAACCGTTGCCTCACCATTCTTATTTTTAAAACTTTAATGACAAGCGATTTTTTAGTTGATTTAGATACGTTCTTAAACAAAACCAATTTATTCTAAAGATGGTATTTTCCTTTTGTAAATAAAGTTACTTGCAACTTCCATGAGACTCATTTGTTTTAATGAGTATCACATTATAGCAATTTCTGTCAGTCTCCATTTGAAATTTCGCTTCTTTTTTTCTAAAAAGAGAGGAAGTATTCCTTCCTCTCGCTAAAGAAAGCTTTTGCTGTTTCCGCATTTTCTAGTGCAAGACGAAAATGGACGAGTCTGCTTTCAAAGTAACACTGGTTTCACTAAACCTTTCAGTGTGTAGAAAAAAAATGTTATCAAAGACATTTTTTTAATGCCCATGACCGTTTGGCACTTTTAGTCCGTAGAAAATTGATTTTTACATTTTTTTTTTGCACTAATGTGAAATACGGTGCATAAATATGTCATCTTCAAATACCTTTGTTATTTTAATGAATTCGTTCACCCATATCTAAATATGATAAAATTCTGGACAGCCACAAGTAAATGTTTGCCTAGGTCATGTCATATATTTATTTATTACACGACTCGAGCAGTCAGAGGGCCAATAACTAAAATCAACAAATCAAAATGCTCTATTGCCGGTCAATATTCTCTAAGTATTGGACCGGGCACTGTCCCGAATGGTCCCGAATGATACCGCACTTGTGTCCCTTTGAACTTCAGTCGTATAATAAATCTCTTATTAACCAAGCTTGCTCGGTACCGCACTGGAAGAATATCGGCCCTCGGTCTTTTTTGTACGGACCTCGCTGCGCTCGGTCCATACTGTCAAGACCTCGGGCCGATATTCTCCCAGTACGGCTCTCGCGCTTGGTTAATAAGATATATTTATTTATGACTTGGAACCAATTCCATTGCTCGAAACTTTCCGGTGGTCCAGCTAAACGCGTTGGTAAATAAGTGTAAGTCGACGTATTTTGGCAGGAAACACAAAGCGCAAAAAATCGGCATTGTAGCTCGGGTTGTCGTACAGACAACTTTTGAATTATTAGTAAGGTGAAATCACGACAAAATCGCCAATTGATATAAATGTAAGTGCAAGAAAACACTCCAGAATATCCCAAAGTGAGTAGGTGTCCTAGAAATTTTTTGTTAAAGCATACAAAAAGCGCTTAGAACTTACCTTAAGAAGACGATCTGTTATTCACGTGTCACCTTACGACTATGACCGAGCGACTTTTCAAGATCAATAAATTACCTCCGTTGTAGCTACGAGTGTAACCTCTGTGCAGTTCAGCTCTAACCTATCGTCCGATCCGTTCTGTGTTGGAAAATGCTTGAATGGGTTTATGGTGAGAATTTGAGCTTAAGTTGACGATCATGATGTGCGGTCACTGCCTTTGGAGAGAAATGATGCTTTTGTCTGTTCAATATCGAACAAATTATTTTATCAATGGAAGGAAACATAACAATCTAAGATAAATGACCATTTGATAGGTAAAATATTACATACTAGCGGAGCTCACAGTACACGCGAGGCGCGCGCAGCTTAGCTCCATAGTCAGGAAAGTTTGGGTAACTTTTTAGGCAGAGAAAATCACAAAGTATGCAACCGTCTGACCGTGCAACCGTCTGACAGTGCAACCGTTTAACCGTACGTACGTTATCCTTCTTTTAGCGTGCACCGTGAGCATATCGACATCAACGTGTTGCTCTTGTTCAGCGCACTCTACAGCAATATGTATGTGACTCTTGGTTCGTGATGAATTTGGTTGATTTTACACTTAGCATGTGACGCCAATATAGGCGAGGCTAACTCATAGAATCCTACCATTTGTATACGATTCCTAAAACAAGAGAGTCCTTCACCAGAGGAAGAAGCAAGGGTTGTAGAGGAATTCCAATCCAATACGTCTTCTTTGTTGATATACAAAACGAAAACATCCCCCACTAATTGAGCGTTTTTCTTCTTTAATGTTTATCAGTGCTTTTCTTTTAACTTGATACTGCAAAGGAAATTTTTTATTTATAAAGTTACCAAACTGTTCTTCTTTGTAAATTTTTTCAAAACAGTTCTTGTGTTATTTAAATACAATATTAAACGAAACTAACTCATTCTGATCATAATATTTTAGTGAAAATATTGAAGGGTCACAGCCAGATTAAAACATGGTAATTGTTTTTTATGAACAATCTCCGGCGAAAACGATTGAAAACTTATTACGTGTTTCCTACTGCCTAAACTGTAATCATCGACGGTTAAAATGTGAATGACGAATTCTGCGAATCAAGCGAAAGTCGAAACTTCGGGACCGGGATTTGTTTTTGTAGGGTAATCAATGGTTTGTTTACAACTGTTACGTCATATTTTCCCTTAGTAAATAAAGCTATTTGTGTCTGTCATAGGAGTCATTTATCTAAACGATCTATCATATTAAGGCAATCTTCTTAAGTCTCCGTTAAGAATTCCGTTTCCCTTTTGCTCAGGAATGGGTTAATAACTAAAAAGTAAATTTTGCATCCTTACAATAATAAATTATTGTTTACATATTTTCTATCACAAGTGTTAATGGACGAGTCAGCCCTCACAAGAAGCATATTGGTCTACTAAACATTACATTGTGTATAAAACAAAAAAAAATGGACACTATTTTGATGTCCACGAGCATTTGGCGCTTTATTGTTCGCAGAAAATTGTTATACATTTAAATGCGTTTTTGCATTAATTAATTATACCGTTCAGAAATATGTTATTTACACATGCTTGTTATTATAATCTAGTCTTTTGTTTATGATTTTTTTTTTTAAAAAAGATTCTGGACAACCACAAATAGATATTTGCTTCGGTTATGTTACAAAAAGTATTAAGATATGACTAATAGCCAATTCCAACACCTTGGGATGATTGAAAATGAGTTTTTTCGCATCTAGAACCATTGCAAAATTTCTATGTAGACCTTTGAGTATAGCTTTGGCTGACGTTCACTATCCGCGGCATAGAAATGAATTAGTTGAAGAAAACCGCCTCCTTTAACTTCAGCATGTTTAGATTCTCCTACTAAAACCAACTGCAACCCATTTGAATAGTTTTCCACAAATCTTTTCTTGACATGAAGATAGATACTTCGTGCTTGAATGTTTCAACAGCAAAAAGTTTCCAATATACCAGCGGCCGTCACACTGGCTCCTTTGTAGTCGTATCGTAGTAAGAGACACACCCTTTTATAAAGAGGTAAATTGGAGGGGTTTGGCCATTTTTTTCTGTGCTTCATCTACGTTCTCTACGATTATATCTCCAATCGGTATGCATTCACCTAACTCGAACATAGGCTGTGAGCTTTGTATTCGACCTGTGCGCTGCGGGAGAATTAGGCTCGAAACAATTTTTTTTCTTTGTCATAAACAGTTCCTCTTGCTTTGGAGTTTGCACTATTACAATTATTGTATCCCAAAGGCCTGCTCTCCCCCAAAACAAGATGGTCAGTCCCTTTGAGGACGAACAAGAGCAAAGGCGTTCTGTAATTGAGACATGCGCATCAGGATTGTAGGCCATAAGTCATATGTTCTGTGACGAACCGAAATAACTTGTTCCAGGCATCTGCAGTTTCCTCGGTCCAACTAGACTCAAGAAGATCTTGAAGAACAAACATCAGAGCTTCCTGCATGGACTGAGAACAAAAGGAAGTTCATAATTTTCAGAGTGATAACAGGCATCACATTACAACTTTGAATTTCTTAATTTTTTTTTTTTTCATTTTTGTTTCATTTCTAAATTGTTTTTCTTCAATAACACCAGAAAACTACGCAATGGCCATTTGGACCAAAAATGAAATTTACGCGGGGTGGTTATAGCAAGATATGATTTAATTCTGGCCAATTATGGATTAGCAACTCTGCAATCACCTAAGCAACAATAATAGAAGTCAAATGCATGATGTCGGTCAAAGAACTGTTAACTTACGTCAAGATACATAGGTTTTAAGGCACGTGTTTTATGTCTGCGTCCTAATTCTTCTAAATACGCGCTAAAACTCTCAGAGTCATCCAAAGCGGAAACAGCATTCTCTACCGCTTTCATCACTCTTTTTGCATGCCCATATAAAGCATTTGTCTTCTCGAGCTCAGATGGAGGTACGTCTTTAAATTCCGGAAATAGTCGCTGATATTCAGGATTCTTTTCAAAGAATCTGCAAAAGTTATAAATCATATATTTTTAGAATAAATAAAGTAGCTTACTTCTCCTATAAATAACAATGCAATATTTAAAGCTTAATTTTACTCACATCAAAGACGTCCTTGAGGAACGGTAACAAGACTTCGAAAATAATATTTCTTTAAACACACAGTTTTACAAACCAAACTACATGTTTTTAAAAGTCTTCGTAAAGCGATCGTCATGCACGAACAATTGCCATTTTGAACTTCAAAATTGGCTTTTGTACACCATGAGTATATCATATTAAAAGTAATCGCTCTTCTTTTAACGATGAAGCCGCTATTCCAAAGAAGATGTAAATTTGTTTGCCATGATCAGTGTGTAGATAACAAAGATATTTTTCCTACAGACGCATTGATATGTACATTTAGTAAATTATGGCTTGGAATTTAGCAAGGCGAAGTAAGCATAAAAAAAAAACAAAAGCGAAAACACCTTTCATCTCATTACTGACGAACAGTTGATTCACAAACGTCCTGTTTTGAATAAGGGGTCCTGATTAATTTTCAGAGACAGATTTCGACCAACACGTAGACGCAATTAAAAAGCTTAAACGAAAATAACTGTTTTGTCGCCATCATGTGTATAAATGACATATTAATAAAAAAAATCCCGATCGTGCACGATTCGCGTGGGAGTTTCAAACTTTTTCGTTGATACAATTTATTCTTTGTCTTCATTAATCGCGTGCACAGCTGCACCTTTTATAAGTGACGAAAGCGAAATTTTGGTGATGAAATCCCAATGTCTTGCTTAGGAGATGAACGAATGTTGTAATTCACAGCCATTTCTTTTGTACAATCCTTGATATGTAAAATTCAGTAGCATCACAACGTTGACCAAAATATTTTTCTTGGAGTGAATGTACCCTCATTAATATCGTAGACACTTAATTAAAAAGGTTTTTGGGGGTTTTAAAAAGTTTCCTCTGCAGGTATAAGTCACTCAGTGATAAATTCAGTCCATTCAAAGTGATTCATTGAGGCAATAAAGCGTTGGAGTAAGCCCACGAACCCCAAGCTAAAGCATGAGAATACGCTCTGTTGAAACCACATCTAAACTGAAATAGTAATTATAATACAGGCTTCTGTTTGAGAGAGCACTTGCTTAATTTGCAGCAAAGCAAACAGCGGTTTTCGGGTGTTTTTCTAAGAGGGAGAATATCTCATTTTTTTCGCAAAAAATCTCCTCAGTTTTACCAAACAGGCGGCAAGTACGATACTAATAAAAACTACGACCAGCTTAGGATGGTTTTCTAAGAAATTTATGTTATTACTCGGCATGATATCATTTTGGATATGTAGTAATCTTGGAGGAGTATATTTAAACCCTCACTATTGAATTATGATTTCTTTAAAGGAGATATGGTATATTGATAAAATTTGTAATTGCTTCGTACAGGCAGTACGTTTGTGCGATAAATTCTAAGATTGAAAGCGTAAAATCAGGCGAGGAAACTCGAGATTTAAAGCTTTACTTTAATAACACTCGAAGCTTTACTTTAATATCACTCGAAATATTGCAGAGTACGTAGACTTGAAGCGGGAAACCAGTTTAGATAAAAACGCAAACTGTAAAACGTCGTGTGGCTGACGATTACTCTGTGTTATGTGACACAATACCGTTATTTTGATTTTCATTTCTTATCTCATTTCTCGTTTTAATGAGGGGTTTATCTTGTACTCCAATTTGGGGAAATGATTTTTTTTTTCAGTACACGAACGATGAGCAATACGCACGCTTAAAAAGAAACGTGACGATAACAAAGATTGAGGTTGTTATACCAAAAACTGAAATTATCAAATGAAAAAAATTTACTGACTGTTGCAAACTACAGCGAGAAACGTTAACGTAAGGGCTACGGAAGCTATCACTTTTTCTTGTGTCCGAATCCTACCCTTAAGAATGATAAAACCCATAATTCTCTCTCTATAGAATTGCTAAACCGTAATATCCACAGGAACAAAAAAATTAATTATCTCTGGCGAAATTGTCTTTTCAAATGATTTTAACACACCAGCCATAAATAAATTGCTAGTTTTGGTTATGCTATATTATTTCCTTTTGGTCGCACAGAAAACACTCGAACACCAATGGCTATTTTGACATGTAATATTAAACGTTACAGTTAATGCATTGATTCCCAGAGTTATACAATATTGTACGGGCTTAGTCGTAGAAAATGGAAGGTGTACTTGGTAAAATAAAATATAACATTGCACCAACCGCTTTGATATGCCAATCTCAGCAGAGAATTAAAACTGAACGATCTGAACGGTCTTCTTAATTTATACACTGCGCTTACTTGATAAAAGTCTTCTTCCCAACAGAATTCTTGTGAATTTCGATTGTTTCCCAAGTTTCGCGCACCAGGTACTTTTGAGCCGTTGTGAGTGGAAACACCGAGGCCTTAAATCTATCTCTGAGGCGGCTCGACGAAGATCCACATCCCATTTTCTTGTTTATATTGTGATGAAGTTGCTGGTGGGTTTGTTGACAACACCTGTAACGATTTGAAAAAAGATGAATCGAAAATTTGTGTTTACTCAGAAAAAAACACTCCGACCTGGCAGATTCACTTCTTGACACGACACAAATATCACGATCTAGCGATGCTTCTGTCAGCCCAACATCGCACAACAGGGAGAAAAGAGTATTTTACAATAAGGCAAATCTGATTGGCACGGATTGTTAAATTCTGACAATTGAAGCTGCATGTAAATTGCAAACATGCTAAGTGATTTTTCGTCGCCGTAAGCTTGAGCCACTTGCTTTAAGCAAATTAAATTGGGAAAAACAATTCAGAGCAAATGACCATTTGATACGACAAATGTATGTTTAATTTGAGATTATTCCACTTTGAAGATATTAAAAATAGCATATAAGGTTTGAAAAGAATCTTACTCGCTGAAAGCCCCATAACCTAGGAAATATCCTATTTTCGTGCTGTGAGTATCTTAAATACATGGTCTTTTGAAGCAACATCATGATCCCATCTCGTGCCACCGAAAAAACTACCAGCAGATGTAATGGAATAAAAGCTTAAATTATGTGCCACCACGATCAGTAAAGTGCTCATTGCACGTATTTGATGGCCCTTAATTTCTAGTTGTTGTAATTTATGAAAATTAAAGACACTAAACCATTCTTTCTCCTCTCCTAGTTACTTCCTGTTATGATACGTTGGTATTAAAAACTTATTTGATAAATTTAACCTTTGTTCTGCATTTTGTTTTGCCTGATTTTCGTCCCTTTCATTGTATTTTGATGCTTTGCTCTGGTTTTTAAATATAAAAATTGATTTCGGTTTTTTTTGTTCTATCATAAGTTTAAGATTTGAGTGGTTTTTTCTTTTGCACTTCTTTTTATCATTTACGTCTGACTTGTGTTTTTCCTTTTTTATCTTTTTTCATTATTTTTTGATAATTTTACCTTTACCAATCGGGAACTGTCAGGTGTTTTTTTGTCACTAATGTTTATGTTGTGCATATTCCTCTAGTCTTGTTTTTTGTCATGTTGTGTATCTTGTGTATTTTTCCATCCTAGCAGTGTGCAGGAAAATTGTCAACATGGATCTAGTCAAATGGCCCAGCCTGCCATGAGTCTCCTATTGTTCTGTGGTAGAAAATCTGAGATACCAATCGGATGGTCGTAGATTCAACGCACACAGGGAGCACTCGGAGTCCTTTTTCTCCGAGTCAGTGACTGTGTCATTCACTGATAAGCATCATCTTTCACTTTGCCATCTTTGTTGTTGTTGCTTTTTTTGTCTACTTTACCCTACTTGTTGGGAGCTGGTGAAATGTTTTTACTTCTAGCCTCCCATGAAAATACACTGAATGGTTATCATTATCGGAATCAGAAAACGATCATCCACCAATGTTATACAGTTCAATCGTTCCTGTTTTGTTTCCTGTTTTTTTGTTTTGATTTGCTCCTTACTCGTTCGTACGTGATACGTGGGGGTGATGCCTTCCACGCACCTTTAACAAAAACACGTGTTAAATCTTTCCGAGTATTAAAATTTAACTTTTCCTGCTTAACCGACACAGGGCTACAAGAGACTGCGTTCGATTGATAAAATCGATTGGTAAAATATTACTCCAGCCAGCGGTGCTACACGTCTGATACGTGTAGTCATCCGCCATTTGGGATGAACAGGTCCATCGTAACTGAGAGAAATGCGTAGGTGGAAATTATGATACATGTCATTACATGATAATTACACACATTTCATACACGCAAGAAATAGCTAATTTTCCTTTTTCTTTTCATAATAGTCTGACCTTATGTTTTTGAGAGAATTCGGATTTGTTTCCCAGTTTGTTTCTTGCCAACTAGACATCTGGCGAAAAAATTTCCGACTGAATTGAAATAATCGCGTGAACTACTTGCCAGTCGCTTGTAATTTCACACCTGATGAAAGTTGACAGAAAAAAATAAAGAAATATTTCTTTTTAATAGATGTTAATAACAAGACCCTCTAAATACTACAAGTCAAACTTACCGAGACAATTCTTGGCCGGTTTTATGTTCGATCTACCAATGATTCATTAATCCTCTTGAATGGTGGGAATTTCAAAGAAATATCTTTAGCACGGGAAATCTCCACGGGTGTCATGTCCGTTGCAATTTGTCGTTAAGCGTGGAAACATGGTAACAAAGCTGGCAGCGTTACATATCTTAGAAACAAAGCGTGAATACCAAATTCCGAATTTGTCGTTAAGCGTGGAAACATAGCAACAAAGCTAGCAGCGTTACAAATCTTAAAAACAAAACGTGAAGACCAAACTCTGAATTTTTTTGGTGCTTATAAACCGGCCCAGATAAAAACCGACATGTTAAATGAAAAACGCCATGCCATGAATTTTCTGAAACCTACTCTATAAATTGAAAATATTCCATAACAAAACAATTTTACGAGGAGAAAGGAAGTTGTAAGGCCTAGCTAATTATGTATTGTTAGGAGAGCAAAAAGTTAAGTTTTTCACCTTTTATGAGAAACATTTTGTATTAAAATTTTGCTTTTTAAAATGACCTTAATATATATTCTAAATAGGCAATAATTACTCAAATTTCATCCTTCTTAACGTCTAAACTCTGTTACGAATTCACAATAAGGTCGGAAACAAAAATTAATTCCTAACCACATCAAATAGATTTCTTCCATTTTGAACATTAATTTTTAAAGTTAACTCGCCATCAAGTTAAAATTGCATTTTATCTAAAAGATATCTAGAAATTATCATCAACCTTACCAGTTTTTATGTTTATAAGTTTGCGGTGCTCATTTAGGGTAGACTACGTATATTTCTATTTCCTGTTATATGCAAATAACATTCTGTCCAACTGGAGACTTTCTGCTCTAATTAGCCAAAAATAAAATTCGTCATTTCCATTACAAGCGACATACTACCAAATTAGCATATCTATCCAAGTTTTAGTTTCCAGAAATTTAATCCAAAACTGTTTCAGAGCAGGACAATAAATTTTTCCAAACGAACAAATTACTCAAATTGTTGCGATCAATATTTAAGACTATAATATGTGTGATCATTTTTTTAAAGAAACAAACATAAAATGAATGAAAACAGAACATTGTCTACGATAGAGACACTATGAAAGTCCCATTACAAAATCTGCCTTTCAAATTATACTTTTAATAGTTTGTACTTGTAAAGTAAGTAATGAACAGTGTCACCCACTCCCTTAAAAAGATGAAAAAGGTTTATTGAATGTATACTTATAAATGTCTGCTTAAACTTCAAGACAGGCTTTTAACGCTTTAATGTATTCATGAATATTTACACTTGAAAATATCTGGATCTCTTCACTGATAAATATTGTAAAGGGCTGATTATCTAATGACAAGGAAGCAATAAAATAGAACACCTTCTTTAAAGAGAGCTAACTTGATGATAATGATACCTGTGCACTCCTTTCGTTACTTTTACAGAGGTTGAGAACAAAGAGGTCCATTTAATTTAACGTTTTTGAAAGAATGAGTTTCCTACTCATTTATAGGTTAATATCGTTCGTGATACAAATCAGAAATAAAGATGGAAGTAAATGCTTTAAATCCATATGTCATGAAAACGTGTTTCTTCGATTTTAAAAGAACGAATAAAAACTAGTAGAAACTGATGTCGATAATAACACTTATGCAAAACGTTCACGTTTTGCAGCGATCAAAAAAAAAGGGAAACCATGCACTTGTTTGGTCTCCTAGCAACGAACAATGCTGGTACAAAACAGGACCAACAAAAATAGACTTCTGTATAGGAAAAAAATCAAATACTGCAAAATATCGCGATAAAGCTATCACCAATCAGCGACTAACTTTAAAGCGATGAAAAGTTTGATAAAAGGTTCATATGAAATATGTGAAATTTTTACTGTTTTTCTTCCTTTTATAAAGGCCGTTATATGTTAAAACTAACTTAGGAATAATTTGGGTATCAGTAACTCATGGTCGGATAACAAATTGTGCCTTAAGAATAATGCGTTAGTATTGGCTCTTTTGGCGAAGCGAACTTTAAATATTTATTCTTCCGTTAAAGTTTTACTTAAGTTACCAAGGGTGTCCAAAAACAGAACGCTTTTTCATAAATATTGAAAATCCTCGGACTAAATGAAATATGCTAATTTGGGATATATGATTTTCATATATTTATTCTATCTCAGAGTTGATTTTGTTAGAAAAGTGACAGCTTTTCGGGAAAACATTCAAACAAAGTGCAAAGGTTATTTTTGAAGCTATTCTTTCTACTGTGAATGACATCAAGTACGATGCTAAAAATATTCTCAAAGAGTGGACATATTTGCGATAATCTCAAGTTAACTTGTTTTCAGCTCAGTCTAAAGATTTTTCCCATCATATGAAATCCACATGCAACTAATCCAAAAACACCTGTTAGGCCTCAGGTCTGCGGTAGCAACTTGAAAATTAACAAAAACAAAACACATTGGACCTGGCTAGATATATCTACTTTTTCACGCCAGGATATCTAAATTGACTAGCAATATAAATTTACGTCAGGCTCTTTTCAGAAGGACAAAACCATACCCTAATTTATTACCTTTTAGCTCTGAAGAAATTTGTTTTTGAGGAAATTGCGCGCGATACTTGACGAAAAGCAAAATACTTCAAGATAAAGCTCTTAATTATTGGTGTCTACAAAGATGCACCAAGCAATCATTGCGGGCAGTGGAGAAACTAGTTTACATAGATTATGTCAACTTCCTCCAGCACCTAAATTACAAATTCTGTCGTCACATGTACACCGTAGTGACCTAAAAAGTTTCGATCATTTCTCGAACAAAAAAAAGCATGGGTTGCTCTTCATCGTCAAGTCAAAAACATGCCCATGTGTCACTTCCCTTGTCTGAGCCGCAGAAGTATCTTGTACGAGAAACCTGGGAAACGATAGAACAACACAAAAATATGGTCGGGAAGAAAACGTTTCTAAGGTAAACATTTTCGTGTTTTGTCGTTTACTCAATTTCCTCAGTATACTCTGTTTTCCTTTCATTATTTTTGTTTTCGCTTAGAAGTCCTTGATTTTTTTTCTGTCGCCGCTTTTGTTATTTCATACCGAAATCTGATTCGGGATGATACATTTTGAACCCTTGAATGACGCTATTGAGTAGGTTAACCTTCATCAGGGATAGATATAACTTACCCGGGAATAGCACCAAAAATTTCTTTTCTTACGGTAAGAGTTGCAGCGAAGCGCTCTTGTAAGGGTGGATTCAGATCATGAAATTATCGCGGATGTGTACTTCTTGCATGTGAGTTCCTTACTTAGTTTGGGATTCTCGAGAGCCGTTCTACTTGTTGCAATTTTAAATTCACAAAATCGGACGTGACTGAAATAATCGTATTTGTCCTCGTGAGGAATCATTCGCTGGGGCTCTATTGCATTTCGCAACGGCTGTTTCCTCCCCTTCCCAAAAAAAGCAATTGCAAGTAATCGTATTTATTGGCTAGAGTTTTCCCCCAGACTTTTCTACTTTCAGAGCTCGCTGAATAGATGCACAAAAGCAGGTATATCCTTAGTAAAGAAAAAAAAAAAAAAAAAGGACGGAAGGGACAGGTGCAAAAAAGGAGAAATTACAAATTAAGGAAACACTGCTGTTGGGAAGAAGCTTGCGTACGATGTTGCGCTAATCTGTCGACTAGCTGTCCTTTTATAGTAACATAAACAAATGAGACTATCCAAATAAAAGGTATGCGCTGCCCCTTTTCAAAGACGAAATAGGGGTGCAAGTGGAACCGGTAACAAAGTTCTTATCCAGATAATTTTCGAGCTCTCCCACTCATATTTTGCATTTCAAAGGGTGAGATGGAGGTGGAGACTGATCGATCAGTGGAATAGACTTCATAACTAATATGCCTGCCGTGAAAATATATCTTGACAGCCTGACTTTCCATAAAAATCAAAATGAAAAATTGTGAATTCATTTCTGCTAAAAGAATGCCATCAAAGATACCACCTACTGACAACGTTGTCACAACTTAACTCTTGCCATTAATTCTGGTCATTCAACTTCTGTTCGGTTTTTAATAAAAGTAATAATTAACAGTATAATATTGTCAGGGAAATTCTGCGCCGGAACAAAACGTTTTCTGATAATTGATGTCGTTCTTTCACCGAATACAAACATAAAATGTTGAGTAAGTTTAATATCAATTGTTTTTATCCGTTTAAGCCCCTTTGTCATGCTTGCGGCGAAGAAATATGGATTATGTCGAGAAGAAAATATCGTTCTCTTCAAGCTATGCCACCTAAATGAAAAAGTGCAATGCACTTCAATTTCGTTCTGATTAAATTTTGTAAAATGCAAGATCTTTTTACCGCTACTTGTTCAGAATATCAGTTTGCAATCATCAGTCAAACCACGGCCGTTCCACGTTTTTCTGCTAACCCTAACCGCTGACCTACAGGATCGATTGGAAAAAGTCATACATTCGCGACACTCAATCAGCACATGGTCAAATGTCGCAAAGAGTTGTTGAACAGGTACACTGCAGGAAACGTGGGAAGACGCAAGAGACTAGGTCGCGATTGAATTAAGTTTTGCATCTAATTGGCTGAAAATCTAGTACAAATTTTTTTAGACCAATCACATAGCGACGTGTAGGGAAACCATAGCAACTTGGGACTATTTTAGGTACTCACTCGATAATTGCTTAATCACAAGTCAAGGACCCAATTTGGTTCATAAGCACCCTGGTTCAGGAGTTCAGTTTGTAAACGGAGAGACAAAGCAAACGGTGCGATAACATTAGCTTTGAGTGAAAAACCGCGGAAAGTCTGGGTCGTACTGGGTAAAAAACCTACCAAGATCTCTCGTCTTTTCCCCCTCCTCTCCTTTAGCGCTGTTTACTGTTGCACTTGGAACAGTGGTTCCTTTAACTTTTTCCAGATTTTTTGAGTTGAATCCCGACTATCAAAGGCTGTTTCCAGAATTTAAAGATGTAGATCCAGTTGAACTAGAAAACACAAGTGCTTTGTACGGACACGCCAAGCGAGTCATGAAAGCAGTGGAGAATGCCGTGACTTCATTGGATGATGCGTTCAGCTTCGCTGCGTACCTAGAGGAACTGGGAAGGAGGCATAAAGCTCGCGCATTGAAACCGTCTTATCTTGATGTAAGTGTCACTAAAATGTAACAAGTTGATACGTCAGAATAACGATTGCATGATCACTATGACAAAAATTTAGACTCCGTGGCTTTAGCAAACGAAGACTTCCTAAAATACAAGGAACAAAGGTATCGTATGCAGAAAGGCGACTCATATCTAAATCATTCGGCAAAATCAGAGCTGGCAATTTTTAAATAACTTTCCTGTTTGGAGGTTTCATAAGAGATGAAAAAGACAGAGCAAACGAAATGCTTAGCGTTTATAAACCAAGCTTCTCGGGAAGTGTTAATTACCACTTAGTTGTCTTCATAGCCAACGCTCCAGATCGTGGACGTTTCTCTAAAACTGCTGTCTGCGTCAGTTCCATGTTTAATCATTCTCTTTGTTTTCTCTCTCTTTCCTTTCCTCTCTCTTTTCTTTTCTCTCTCTTTTCTTACTGAGAAGAAGTAATATTTCGAACCGAAATCGTATTGTGCAACACTTGAAACGCTTGTGGATTGGTAAAATTTGAAAACAGGCTCAGGAAGCAGCAAAATGAGTATCAATTTAATAAAATATTTTAAACCTGGACTTTGAACATCAAACGATTATCATTTGTATTGTAAACTTACTTTCTCATTCCACGAAAATACGAGGTATCATCAACTTTACGCGTTAGATTTACCGCAAGAGTGATACCGTTTATTTAACATGGGTCATTGACAGATTTGAAACTGAATAACAATAGAACAACATCTCCTTTTTCTTCTTAATTTTCAGGCAATGCAGGAAGCACTAATGTACAACTTGAAAGATTTACTACGCAGTCAGTGGACCAAGGAAACAGAGGAGGCCTGGAACAGACTTTTTCGATTCATTTCATCTACAATGGTCAAGGGACTACAGTCGCCATGAGAAAGCTTCGTCAAGGAAAGTAGACGCGCGAGAACTTGATTTAAAATTTGCACAAAGCCATTTCGGGGGAAAAAGTACTGATATCTTACAAACCCAGTGGCTGTGAACATGAATCAAGCGTATGGAGAGGTTCGCCAACGAAGCTTTTGATCTTTATACTTTTTTGAGCAATTATCACGAAATTAAAAGTTCTTAGGTTCAAAACATTCACAAGGAACTCGAAAGATTCTTTTCGTCCTGCACCCTCCACAAATCAGTCTACAACTTAATCAAGTTTTTTTTATATACTTGTTTTCGATCATAGTTAGTTTTTTAAACGGCAGTTATCAAAATACAAACATGAATAACCCACAAACATGTCACGTAATTTCATTAGAAATTGCAAAAAGCATAACTTAATGACTTCTACGTAAAATATAATGTCTTCTGGTCGGCCCTGGGAGGTCATATAAACGAAAGTACTGATTAATCTTTTTTTATCGAGTCACTAACATCAAATAACTGTAAAAATATACCTTTCTGTACAAAGTTCTACATAGACATATGAATAAAGATGTACGTACCTTTCAAACTTTGAACAGTTTCCTATAAAACTAGTTTGTTCCCTTCGATCATTACTTCATTGAAAATGACAGAAAGGACTCATTCCATCTGCTTTTGGTCGCTGCACGATAAATAAACTTATAATTGCTTTCTACCTCCGGTAACCTGGTGGTCAAAGGGAACCGATAACTTTATCTTGAGGGCTCGACTTTAAGACCCTTTCAGTTCAAAATGCTGTTATTTTTGTTCCAATAAAAACGCGCGACCTCATTGGCTATCAGGATGAAAGAAAGTTCTTGATGTGAAGGTTGACATGTTAGATTAAAATGAGACAAAACAATTGAGCATAAATAATGTGTTTGCAAAGTCATTACCCAACTTTTCTTATATTTCAGACCAACTCGTCGTGGCTCATACAACAAGATATTTTTTACTGAAAAACATGCGAAAAACACCGAAATCTCCATGAAATTCATAGGTTTTATATATTCAAAGAATACAGATGAAAGAGAGTTCGTGCTGTGAAGCTTGATATGTTAGATCAAAATGAGACTAAACAATTGAGCACAAATAATGTGTTTTCAAAGTCAATAACTGAACCAACTTTCCTTATAATTCAGACCAACTCGTTGTGGCTCATTAAAGAAAATATTTGAATTTTTCACCGAATAACATACGAAAAACAGCGAAATGATCTTGAAATTCATAGATTTTATATATTCAAAGCATACAAAGTGCTTTAATTAAAAATTAATACAACTTTCAAACTAAATGATTCCGCAATTTTTAAAAAAAGTTATTCAGTCAAGGACCTTTCACAAAAAAGTTCGGGATAATTATGAACCTTCTGGTTAGGCCCCTGGGCATTTCAAGATTAAATGACAAATTCAAGGCTTAAGGAAAATCAAGCTCCAGTGTTTTGAAAACAAAACATTTCCTAGTCACATCAGCATTTATGCTAAGTAAAACCTGATTAACTCAATGAAATTCTGCAACAGAAACCTGAAACACTCAATCTTACCGAATTTCTACCTTCAATTTGCTAATGATCTGAAGACGACAAATATCAGTTTGAGCATCTTCGATGACGGAAAGAATTTTAAAACATGTATAGGTTTGGTGTGGAGGAGGTATCAGATTCACGAGGTGGTCTTAGTGAATTTATCTGATGAGTTTGGATTACGAAACCCAGATAAAAAAAGAAATAATTAAAAGGGAATTGGCCGAGTGCCCCACGAACATTGGAGACTATGCATTGGGATACATTCTCTGCCAACGGAGCCGCAGTGACTATGCCGTGACTATGTATCAAAGCTACATAGTCACATTTTTTACACATTTCACCACACAATCTCTTTGCATATATATAGCGCGCTCGGAATATTTTCTTATCCCTGATGATGCCGTTCATCGGCGAAAGCTTGGATTTTAAATTTTGGTTTTTACAGCAGTTTAAGGCCTCATTCGAACAGTTTGTATACTAATAAGTTTGCTTTTAATATCTCATATTGTATCATATATCTTATGCAATGTTACATATTCTCATATATACAACATTTTGTGAGTAATTTTATGATAACAATTGAAATAATTCCGTTTTCGCTGACTTGGTCAATTTGCTATTTTTTATTTTGAGAATAATTCCTTAGCTTATGTCAACTGAAAAACACAGAAAAAGGCCAAGAAGGGAATACTGGAAAAGTCATCTCTCACAAGTAATGCTTTCTTGTTTCTTTGCTGGCATGAATATGGAAAAAGTACTTTGAATAATAGAATATCACTTCTTTTGTTCCATAAAACTGTGGTAAGTTCTGTATAAAACTCTAAAAAAAGAATTACTCGTGGCGTTAAAATGAAGTTAGAAAAACTTTTGTTCCGACATAATCACTTCAACCGGTGCAGCATTTCTTGGGAACAGAAGGAAGACTGATTCGGTAAACTAATTTGGATACATCAACAAAGTTGAAATGGTAAATTGGTCACCGTAACGAATACAAAAGCTGACGTTTCGAGCGTTAGCCCTTCGTCTATTCGCTCCGACGAAGGGCTAACGCTCGAAACGTCAGCTTTTGTAATCGTTACGGTGGCCAATTTACCATTTCAACTTTGTTGATATATCCAAATTATTTCGTTACTCCCAGCGACGCAGCCCCAAACAGTTTCTTTCGAAACTATCAGCCTCGATTCGGTAAAAGCAAGGTCTACATAAGGACATACCCGATCCTTTTCAATAACTTGACAGGTTTGACATTAAAATTATACTAAAATGACGTCATTGGTGTCATAAAATGACGTCATTGGCATGACGTGTAAACCTCAAAAGAAGTAAGAGACGATTTGATCATTGCTTATAATTGCTCTGACAAAGTTTTGATTCGTATCTCGGAAAACTGAGCCTAAATTGCTCAAGGTTTTTCTTTTCATATCCGTTACCACTATTTTACCTTAAATTTATTAGTATTTTTTGTGTGTTGTGCTAGCGCATTCAACTAATATTGAGTTTAAGTTAAAAGTAACTCGCAAAAAATTCTACAGATTGTAATGTGACTCTTAAAACTATTTAAAAATGTCTCTTTGATCATAATCAAAGTTGATATGGCTTGTCTAAGTTATCATTTGGTATCAGTCAGTTATTGTTCTATGCAATTAAATCAAACCCTCTCCTTTATTCAAGGTGATTGATATTTAGAAGTTTACCTCAGAAATTTCCGGCTGCAACGTAAGTTTCTAATTTCGAAGGTAAAACTCCCTTGCAATTTCGTATCTTGCACACAAATTTTGATTTTTTACACTGCAAGTTGTTCTTTCTCCTTGTCGATTGATTGCCGATTGATTGCCGAATAAATGCATTTTACAATGAATTCAGAGTATTGTGTAATTCGCCTCGTGTTCTGCGTGTTTCTATGAAAATGGAATCTTGATGTTCTGCTGAAGATCATGTTCCCTACTGGAGAGTGAAAAATTAAAACTTTTTTCCACACAAATTATTCAGAAGCTCCAATTATATAAATAATCACGAATGGGTTTACAACTGTTGGTACACTTTTTCCTTGTTCCCTTCGATGTTACTAGATTGTACGCGTTTGAACAATTGCAAAATTCTCATGTTTTCAAACTAAAAATAAGGAAAAAAGTGGATCATCGTTACATCAAAACCGACGAAAGATTATTTCAATTTTGGTTGCTTTTGTCCTTTCTAAAAAACTTCTGAACATCTTTTTTCGTTTAGAATTAGTGCACTTCGATTGTAAACTTCTATTTTGGTAGAATCAGAGAAAAATATTCGTAATAAAAGCTGTTTGTACTACTGGCAAAAGCAAACATATGTATCATACCTGTCGACCGTTATTTCCTTTGGTCGTATTTTAATAATCTGACTGGGAATGATTTCCAAAATGGCCCGTTGCCAAAAGTATACAAATATATATATATATATATACAAAGAATCCAGCTGGAAAATTTATGATAATTTATGCGCAATTAAGTGTGACTGTCCTATTTATTACGAGGCAGGATCGTCAGGAATACTGTTATCAACTGATTTTCAAGAGCTGTGTTCTAAATTCCATGTCAGTGAAAATAAAAAATATCTTGTTCAAGATACATTTTAATGCCAGAACTGTACCTGTATGCCTCTGTGACAAAATTTTAGGAGACGGCTTTTGAGTATTTCACAGACACGAATCGTTAGGCCTACTCGGATGACTTAGAAAAGCGTAATGATCAATATGCAACAATTAGTGGTCTTCCAGCTAGACAATGCCAATCGCTACCATACGGGACAAGAATAACGAACAAAAAACACGTCTCTTTAAATTCAACAAAAGTCGTCAAACGACCTACTTTCTAATACCTCTTGCACAAGATAGCTCCAGCAATTGTTTTTATTTCACAAAAATAAAATGTCTGGAATAAAAAAGAGAAGTAACTCAGTTGAAGCCTATATTGTCTGTTTTTAAACTCAAAATGTTTTTAATTCTAGATTAAAAAAGCGTATAATTATCATTGCCTTAAAGCTACCGACTTATCAAATACAAACTCAGTATGTTTACTACATGTAGGATAACATTATAAACGGCCAAGGAACAAAGATAGGTCACATACGTAGCTTTTAAACTGCCTTTTTGATGTTCAAAATATACATTAAAAGGGTTTTCAAAGGCCGTAAATCCCTTAACAAACTGGCATTACAGTCAGCAATTAGAAACAAAGGATGTTTTTTTTTTTTGGAGCCAGGCAAGGTCACCTGTACAAGTAATGACTCCTCTACAACTGTATGTACTTTCAAATGACCGTGAGTAAACAAATCGAACTACATCATTAAAACTCGCTTTTGAATTCTGTGTTAAGTACTCTGATTATAAGTTCCGTGATTTTCCTTCCCTTTCCGAAATTGGTCGAGGCCCAACTCTCACAAGAGGTTGCTAGGCCGGTTTCTGAGTAAAATTGTTTGCGTCCGATTCTTCAAACTTCAATGTTGGTGAATTGAAGGTCACTAGAACGCCACCCGTGCTGTGGTTCTTGTTTGGGTTTCCTTTGCAATTTTGTAGTTTTGGAGCAATTTGCAATTGACTTATGAAAGTAACTCATAATTTTATTGGTTTTATTTACTTCGCTCTTTAATTGGTCCAAGTCCTACAACGACCAATCGGAAAGTGCTCTGTTAATGTTCTTAGTAGAATGTCATCGGCTTTTTTATACTACTTTTGTCGATGAAATGCACTGCGATTGTATGTATTTAGCTATTCATGACGATATGCTCCAATAGCTTCCACTCTTGCAAATCCAAACTTTTTTGCAGTTTAGCAATGATGAGTTCTAAGAACAATTTGTCACTTTTATAATTATTTGGTGTAGTTGTAGTATTCATGGTATAGTGTCTAGTTGTATAGTCGAGATTTCTGTGTACAACTGGCTTTTATTCATGCGTCGAAAAGGACCGTCAGATGAAGTATGCAGCAGTGGAAAGGGTTAATGCCATGCGTATTTTTCGGATT